GTCGGCTGTCGAATCGATTCCAACTCAGAACATTAATCACAAATAAATTTCCTGCTTATTTTTAGTTTTAGATAACAGAGAAAAATATATAAAATGTCACCTAAATTAATCTGAGAAAAATGCAAATATTGGCCTATTGAATATACATCATTTCAGGAGAGTGATATTTGAGCTTATTGATACAAAGAAATTAAGTAATTCATGTCATACTTTACATTGAATGCATTACTTTGCAATTCTTAGCAAAACACTGCCTTTTACAAAAGTTAAATCAGTTCTTTTTTTACTTTAACAGATTTTTCTTTAAAAATAAACTTTCCATAGTGTACTTTTAGAAATTAAAATCTCTAAGTATGTTCTGTGCTATTAATTTTTCAGCACAGACTTATGTACATAAAATGAAGAAAGTGGTGCTGTTTTAATGTCAAGTGAAAATTCTACTGGCAAAAGATGAAGCAAAAATATTATGACATCTGTATTATGGCTGTGACACTTTATTCATTTGAAGACCAAGATTACAGAAAATTTCCTTGAAGGAAGGATAAACACAGGTTAGACTCAGTTTTCATATTTAGTTTCTTTGATTCATGACTTTCTAGAATTAGAAATAAAAATATATATATATAAAACTCTTTAACGGTAACTTTTCCATTTCAGAAATCAGGGCCAATTTTTTAAACATTTGACTATATTTACATAGTTTTATTTATCTACTTAATTATGAAATGTGTAGGACTATTTCAAACTATATTGCAAGTAACCCCATTTAGAGTGTTCTTATCTAAACTTTTCTTGTCAAAGGTATGCATTCACTAAATGCCCAAACGGTATCTAAAATAGAATACTGAACGTAACAAACACCTTGCAGTGATAATGACAGTGTGATATCCAATGCCCTTAGAAATTTTAGGTGTGAAGACGGGCAAATTTTTGGCTAACGTGTCTCCCGATATTTTGAGAGACTATTTTCATTAACACTTTTGTGACAATAGCACAAAATACTTTACAATATGAAAGACAGCTATGAGTAACCACCTTTGCGAAAGAGATGTCTGGTATATTTTCAAAAATATGAGAAGATGACAAAATTATACACAGGGGAATACTGTCATCAGTGAATTTTAGCTAACTGGAAGGATTCTCTGACAACTAGTAGTTTTCAAACGATGTCCCACAGCAGTCTAAGGTTCCACAAGGGGCACTGCAGGATTACAGAGTAAGGAGGTCACAGCTTCAGAGCCTCCATCCCTGCTTTAGCCAGAACAGATCTACTTTTATCTGTTTTATTTAATATGGTTTCATGAAACTATTTTTTCAAAAAAAGAAAGGTTCTATTTCTTAAATATGAAAGTCACTGCTTTAGTCAAAGTCCCTAATTTTACATAAGAGGAAATACAGCCTCAGAGAGATCATAGCTTGTCTGAGGTCACACAGTCAATCAGCTGCAGGCCAGCAATGGGCTTTCAGTCTTATAACTGAATCCTGAGTTCCACTATGCTAGCTACTTCCTCATATTCAGGAAAAACACATAGATAATTAAATACAACTTAGAGAAATAAATATGTAAAACTTTGTCACGGAGCTCAGCAATGTACAGGCATGAGACATTAAGAGGGGCTCTAATTAAATTGTAAATTCTAAAGTTACGAATAAAAATAAATGAAGAGACTAATATCACAATTTCTGTCAGCAGCAGTCATTATACTCTTTCTATCAAGTACATGTTTTTTAAACCACAGGAAGGAACCTGAATGAGAAAAACTTCAGCTGAACTAAGAGAGCTGAAATTGAGAAGATTCTTTCTTGAAACAACTAACATTCTCCAAATAAAACTTGGTTTACCAAAATTACTTGAGAAATGAATTGTCCACGTTGTGGGTTATTTATAGCAAAATTGAAAACACAAAGCAGATTTTCCTTTACCAGCTACTGTATTTCCGTCCAACCTCTCATCGTAGTTGGTATGCACAAAAGAAATGGACTTAATCTCAACTACAACTTAAATCCAGTCAGGAAAGTTACAGGACAACCTTCATGTCTCTGCCCTCAAGTTCCCCCTAATTTCCCCATGAGCTGGATGCTGTAGAGTCAATTCCAACTCATGGAGACTCCATATGTGTCAGAGTAGAACTGTGCTCCATAGGGTTTTCTTTCTTTTTTTTTCATAGCGTTTTCAATGACTGAGTTTTTGGAAGTAGACTGCCAGGCCTCTCTTCCAAGGTACCTTTGGGTGGACTTGAACCTCCAACATTTTGGGTATCATCTGAGAGCATTAACAATTTGCTCCACCCAGGAGCTCTTCCTCATGAGAGGAGGGAGATTTACTTAATGGGTGAGTTTGGGAGAAGGAACTGAGAGTGCTTGCTTGGCTTTGAATCTTGTGAACTCTCTTCTTTGAGACGATGTGCCTGTCCACAGTAACATAAATTCAGGTCTGCTCTCATCTGTGTAGTAAGCAGCCTGCCTCTGGGGCAGGTGTCAAGCGGTTGTTTCCTCTGCTTACAACTGTGCAGGAAAGTGCCTAATTCGGCATGAAGTATAAGGAAGCCTACCGTGGCTGCTCATCTAAGCCACACCCTCCACTCAGTTATTGTGTGTTGGTAATAAAGCTAATACATTGCTCTCCATCTGTCTGACGCCTATGTTCTGAGCTCAGAAGAGGAAGACAAGCGCCATCTGCTGCTGATTCCCACCAGAATCCTGACAAGAAGGATGACTATGCAACCCTTCCAGAAATGTTTTCTTCTTCCTTGACTCTATAATCTTAACGTACGTTCTTCAAAATAACCCCTACTTTAAACGGAGGGGAGGAAGCTGAACGGGCTATTTTAGAAGGGGAAATACAGTGAAATCAGTAACAATAGCAAGACACAATGAATACAAATATATATGTTCATTCATTCAGCAATAATTTATTGGTAGGCTAAGGTTAAAGTTGAGATTACAGGTTGGAAAACAATGTTTCATTCTCTTTAGAGACCAGTTTGGTAAAGACATACATATGTCCTCCCAGCATGCACACACAAACACACATTTCCAGTTAATATACTTTCAGTAACAAATCTTTAAATATTGATATTTTTAAATTAAAACTTGGTATCATTCTCTAATTTAAGGAAGTACTCCGATGTTATAAAAATAGATATGATTCCCTCAAATGTAATGAAATCAAGTTAAGTTTATCCATTTAAGCTGCCATAATTGAATATCCAATGGCAAACAAATTAATGAATAAAGAAAATTATACTTTTCAGTTTGTAAATATTAAACACACATCAAATACATGTATTTTGCTACAGAGAAAATAACTGAGGAATTGTTTTTTGATCAATGAGCTGAAGAATTAAGTATGGTGTCATATATACATTTAAAGACGTTGTAATAAAGTGAAAAAAATGAATGAAACAAAAAGAAGTGGAGGAAGATGAGAGATTATCTGAGTCTTTCAAAGGATAAAATGACTACTGGGCATCTGTCTAAGTAGATAAGATGAAGTGGAGAGATGAGGAATTATATAGAGCATATAACTGATATTACAGGATAGTTTACTAAAGTTCTGCCTTTGCCTTGAGTAATTAGCAAGAGTATTACAGCAGTTTGATTAGAATTAAAATTCAAACATGCAAAGGACTGAATCAGGATCCATACCTCACACCATACAGAAAAACCAATTCAAAATGGATCATATACCAAAATGTGAAAATTAAAACCATAAAATTCCTAGAAGAAAAGATAGGGGTGTGGCTATTGGACCCAGTTTTTAATGATAAATTATCTGGTATGTCAACAAAAGCAGGAGCACCACAGGACAAAACAGATCAATTGGACCTCATAAATTAATACTAAATATTTTTGTTCATCAAAGGACCTTATTGGCAAAGTGAAAAGACAACCTACACACTGGGAGAAAAGTTTTTGAAATCATATCTCTGATAAGGGTCTAATATCCAAAATACATTTAAAAAACTTCTAAACTTAACAAAAAAGACAAACAACCCAATAAAAAACAAATGGGCATAAGGTTTGAATAGACATTTCATCAAAGAGGATGTTCCAATGGCCAACAAGCACATGACTAGATGTACAATGTCCATTAGCCATTAGGGACACAGAGATACCAACCTCACCCCCATTAAAATGGCAAAGATCAAAAAACAAAACAACAGGTGTTGACAAGGTTGTGGAGAAACTGAAACCCTCATTCATTGCTGGTGGGAAAGTAAAATGGGACAGCTGCTGTGGAAAACAGTTTGGCAGTTCCTCAAAAACATGAACATAGAACAACCTTATGACCCAGCAATCCCAATCCTACATACATACTCAGAAAAAGTGAAAGTAAAACAGAAACAGAAACCTGCATACCACTGTCCATTGCAGCACTTTTCACAATACCCAAACGGCCAAAGATGGAAACAAAAAAAATGTCCATCGACAGATGAATGGATCAACAAAATGTGGTACACATATACAATGGGGTATTACTTAGCCATAAAAAGCAATGAAATCCTGATACATGCCACAACATAGGTGAACTCTGAAAGCACTATGCTGAACAAAATAAGTCAGTTGCAAAAGGACAAATACCGTATGATCTCATTTATATGAAATGGGCAAATATATACAAGCCAGAGCGCAAATTCAGAACAGACAGCCTTTGCCTTGGTGATGTAAACAGCGAGCCTATTTTTAGTTGGGAAGAAATATTACTCAGTATTCGGTGGAGACACAATGTTCTGTCATGTAAAAAGTTAAAGTCTTATGAATATTAATTTTTTTAGCATTGATATATTCATATAACAACAGTTAGGAAAACAGTTATAGCTAAATTTAATGGACATCTGAGAAATAGAAACACTTCATAAATAAATCATTAGAAAAATTTTAAAAGCATCAGTAATGCACCAAAAATCCAAAATCGATGGCAAATGAATCTTCCTATTTGGCACAGATTTAAAAAAAAATTACCGAGAGGTACTGTGTGCCATGCATTGTGTTAGACATTGGGTATGAACACAAGTACTAGAAAAGCCTTGAACATAACAATTTTTTAAAACAGATTACATCTTTTATACCATTGTCTGGAATAAATTTTTAAGTCTAAACTATTAGAAAAGAATTCTCCTCAGAAAAAGATTCTGTGTGCTAAACAAGCTACCAGTGATCTATCTGTTCAGGCTAATTTTCACTTTTGTATTTTATAAAAATGTATCATTGTATTTGGAACCAATAAAACTGTAAAATTACTTCTGATATACAGGACAAAACCTCCCACAATTAAACTAGCATCTGAAATCTGAAAATAAAAATTAGCAAATCATCGTAACCATCAGAGATTGTTTCTTTCTGTGTGTAAACCTTTTCATGAGTTTTTACAATAGTGGTCTCATACAGTATCTGTCCTTTTGTGATTGACTGACTTCACTCACTGTACTGCCCTACAGATTCATCCGCGTTGTGAGATGCTTCACGGATTCATCATTGCTAATAGCACTACACAGTGCTATGGGCTCACAGTACAGAGTGTATTAGCGCTACAGTGGTGGCGAGTGGCAAGGTTAAACTCCATGCAATGATGAGAGATCTAATAAATGCTAAATGTGACAGATGTAGAGAAAGCTTGCTTCAACAACCAGTACAACTGATTCAGAGACTGGAGAAATAATTTATTAAAATTGTTTTCCTTAAAGTAAAAGAAATCCAGGAACTTGAAAAAAAAGTGTGAAATTTCTGTCTCCTTTTTGCATAGATAATTATGACCTGTACTTAATATGCATAAGTCAATTAAACAGCTCAGTATTTCACCAAATTAAAAAAATAAAAGAAACCTGAAAGCCAAGGGAAAAAATATAATGTAACAAACCTTAGTCAGGTAGGTCTCCATGCTGTTATTTGAAGGCCGTGGGCTTGAGGTAGGAATGGCTAAATTTTCTCTGGGAATAAGATTTCTATTGAGCACTAAACTATTATTAACATTTCCAACACAAGGTGGCTCCAGGACAGGTCTGGTTGTGAGAGTGCTAAGTAAAGATCTGTTCTGTTGTTTCTCCACGAGAAGTTTGGTACTGATCTCTGCTAGCCTCTCGTTAGTCCTGTGAAGATTACAAAAGACAAGTTAGTATTTCATTGTTCCCTGAAAGATTCCTAAATGACAAGCAGTTTATTTTAAATGTTGCCATAATAATGAATGGAATTTCCCATTACACAATGTTTTAACACTGAAAATGTGTCAGAACATATCTCCTGTATACAATGATAGGTTTAAAATGGGTTTAAAGAAGTATGTACATTTATTTCCAGGGGGATTCCTAACTAACAAGTAATTCAGACAAAGTAGGAAGGGGAGAGAAATAACTAGGAGTGTTACAGATGGTTTAAAAGGTTAACAGTTGCCACCTTCTGGAATGGCTTTACTTACAAGATTTTTTAAGATGCCATTAGAAATACTTGTACTTAGTGAGCCAGTTTAGAGATCAGGAAAATCACCCTTCAAGTAGACATTTTCTTATATCACCCTTGTACATTTTTCCATTAACTCAGAGAAATTAAGCACTCAGCACTGAGGAATACTTCAGAGCAACAACCTCCAGGGGAGAGTAAGACAGGGGAACTGGTGATCAGAAAGAACTCAAAAAACTCCAAGGGCAGTTAGCTCCAAACACTGGTACCAAGGCATCGGAGGTGAGCCCTGCCCTTTCTGTCTTCCACACGTCCCCTCAGACAGATCAAGGTAATATTTTACCCACTTTGTGAATTAGACCTCCCTTCATGTCTATGTTAATCTGTCACATGTATGCCTTTATGCAATGTAGGGTGGAAAAACAATAAAGCGCCCTCTAGTGATAATATCAAATATCAAAAAGCTCACTTACAAAGTGCCAGAATGTGCTGAGAGTTGTACTACTTGACCTTTTGGATTTAAGTTATGTTGCTGTTTTCAGGAAGGGGCACTGGTGGCGCAGTGGTTAAGTGCCTGGCTGCTAACTGGAAGGTTGCCAGTTTGAACCCACCAGCCACTCTGCAGGAGAAAGATGTAGCAATCTGCTTCTGCAAAGATTACAGCCTTAGGAACCCTCCAGGGTAGTTCTACCCTGTCCTATAGGCTGCCTTGAGAGCAACGAGTTTGGTTTTTGGGTTGGTTGATGTTAGGTGCCGTCGACTCGATTCAGACTCACAGCGACCCTATCTCACAGAGTAGAACTGCCCCACAGAGTTTTCTTGGCTGTAATCTTTATGGAAGAAGATTGCCAGATCTTTCTTCCTCAGAGCTGTTGGGTGGGTTCAAACCACCAACCTTCTGGTGAGTAGCCAAGCGCTTAACTGTTGGCACCTCCAGGGCTCACCTTTCAAAAAATAGTTCAATTTGTTAATATTTCTATTTCGAGGAATGGTGACAAGCAATTTTATAATACTATAAAGCTTGTGTAAATTATAAAGTTTCAAAAACAATTAGCTTTAAACTAGTAGATCAGGTTTACCATAGGAGATTAAAGAAAAAAATAATAATAAGGCCATGTATAACCAAAAAAGGGGAGAGATGCAAATTGTCCTAAACTAACTTTTTAAAGATAAGTTCATTTACTAACATTATTTTCCAAAATTATATTTTCTAGTTAGCTTTCTGTGGCCCTGGTGGTGCAGTGGTTAAGCATTCGGCTGCTAACCAAAAGGTCAGCAGTTCGAATACACCAGACGCTCCTTGAAAACCCCATGGGGAAGTTCTACTCTGTCCTATAGGGTCACTATGAGTCGGAATCAACTCGACAGCAATGGGTTTGGGTTTTTTTTTGTCTGTTTGTTTAGTTAGCTTTCACTTCTTACTAAACCTGTGAAACTGGCTCACTAAAAATTATGCTTTAGAGGCATATTAATGAGCTAAACTTATTTTCTATGATCTGTGTTTTGACTTACTTGTTTAGTTTATTTGATAATGCTTTTCTAACTTTTAATTCTTCTAGATAGAGTTGCTTGTATTTGTCCAATTCTGCTTCTTTAGAATCTTCTTGGGAAGTTTTCATTTTAGAGATTTCAGATTCTAGGTCTTTAATTCTGAGTTCCATTTGACTTCTTATTGAAGCATTATTATTCTCTCTTAACTGCTCTAAGTTTTCTTGAGAAGCTGCTTGAGTCTAAAACAAATTAAAAGGATACATTTTTAAAATAATTATAACTTGAAATTATACTGTGTTTCCTTTAGTTCTCAGTCAGTGATATAGACAGCAATTCTAAACATGTAAGAAAAAAAAGAAGATAAAGTTTAAAATAATTATCATCAATATTAAGAGAGTTCTATCTGAATTATGAAAAACGCTGAATCATTCTTATCTTATTACTCATATAATCTGATAATTCAAAGAATAGCAGAATCAATTGAAATTTTTAAAAATGGAACAATATAACTTAAGAATAATCCAAGAGTATGGTACATTTTTTAAATTATAACTGTTTAATTTTCCTCCTCATAGTCTTGTTTTATGCCAACTACTCTTCATAATGAAGTTGATTCCCTAATGAGAATGATTATTCTTAAAGATCAATAGTGATGGAAACTGACATATTTAAAGTGAGAAACGAATGCCACCTTCTTCCTAAAAATCTACAAAACAAATTGCTGAAAGGGAAGTAAAGGAAACACATACAGTGTATATATCCAACATACAATCTGCAATAAAATGAATTAAAACACATTACAGATAAATAAGGTAACCTGTAAAAACAGATTGACTTCTTTTAGTTTTTCTACTATGTCCTGCCTTGCTCTTTCTTCAATCTCCCGTTTATACTGTTCTATTTGAGCGTGGTCTATCATATTGATTTCTAGATGACTTTTGAGGTTTACTACTTCTTGTTCCAACTTCTTTTTATTCTTCTCTAGTTTTTCACATTTCTTTTGTACTGCTTTCACAGCTAATAACTCCTGTTGAAGAGCTTGATTTTTTGCATCCAGATGTAGACATTTTGAAGATGAAGTTTCTAGTTTTGCTGTAAGATCATCAATCTGCATGAATAAAATAATATAGTTTGGTAATAAAGGAAGTGGGCTGAGAATTGTCTAGCTCAAAGCCAATATTTAATTTTAAAATAAATCAAATGTCAAATAAAATGTTTTCTATATTATAGCAGATTCTTAGAATGTGAACACTTGAAATTTAAACAGAAAATTGAGAACAAAATTAAAACCACAAGGAGTCACAAAAAATACATTTACTGTCCTCATCTTTGCCACATAAATTTTGCACCTGATTTTATAATTTTTCCACGATTGTTTCGTATGTCTTTCCTCTTTAAAATGACTGTAAGTCACCTTAAGCAGAAAGTCTCTTCCTCTTCCCCTGCACCGATTTTAAGGTTGGAGAAGAAATGGGCTGGCCCCACTGAGCCTTGCCTAAACTGCAGATTCATGAGCAAAACAAATGTTGTTCTGAGACACTAAGTTTTGAGGTGGCTTATTCTGTAGCAGTAAGTAACTGGCACTGATACTAAAGGGTAGGATGCTGCCATTAAAACGAAAACAAAACCCTAAAGCATGTAGGAATGGCTTTCGGACCAGGATGTAGACAGAAGCTGAGAGGACCTAGAGAAGAGCATGACTGAAGGCCAAAAGGGCCTCCAAGAGACTGCTAGTGGGCGCCTGACGGCCCCAGATGAGGCTGACAGGAAGGGCTTAAAGGCAAGTCAAAAAACAATATGAAAATCTGAAGGAAAGGAGACTCTTGTTACAAATCAGCTGAAAGTAAAATATTAGAGGAGGGAGATAAGCTAAAGAAAGATCGTTAAACATAAAGGAACCAGGACTCACAGAGTTCAAAAATCTGTTTCCTGTTCACAGCTTCTCTACATGTCAAACCATGTTAAAATGAAGAAATGGCTTCTGGCTAAGATCAAATCCAGGGTGCTGTCAGGAAAACAGGGTGAAGCCCAAATTCCTTAGAGATCTTAAGGATGTAAGAATCTTAAGGGCATTGTCTTACGATAGCTTCACAGGAAGTTCAAGGTGGAGAAGAACTTATCTCAAAAAATTTTCTGAGGGTGGCTTTTCTAATGGGATGAACTCCAATAAAATTCATAGGAAAACTCACAAAGTTTTAAAGGGAATTGTAGTAGCAGAAACACTGCTTTCTAGCTTGGACTAAAAGAGACCAAGATAGTACAAAACAGAAAGAGGTCTTTGGACTTCAGAAGTTCTACAGACAGGAAAGCAGACTGAGAAAACTACTTAGGTGCAGCCACAGGTCATTTCTTCTGAAAAGAAGCATAGAACAAACAGCTTAGATCATATAGCAAAGAGCTGTGGAGAATCATTCTCACGAGTAGGACGAAGTGCCAATCAAAGAACTGGCACACACATCTGTATTTTAGAATTTCTACCGTACTACAATTTGTAATCTTCTCAGTAATAAAGCCAATGCTAATGTCCTCTGAATGTTAAGAAATTATATACAATTTCTTGTTTTCCTTACTTCAAGCTTGTTTGTATGGACAGGTAAGACCATTTCATCCTTTATGTTATATGATAATACTTCTCCATATCATACAGATTGGCATTGAAATTCTGAAATTCAAATTACTAATTTGTCTGTAATAAATTGTTTGTGTACTACCTGATTTTTAAGTGCTGCACTCTTGAAAATTTTCTTTGAATGGACTGATATATACCTTCTGTAAATTCTGTACAGAGATATATAGTTAGGAATTCCTTTCTATTTGTTTAAGTAAAGAAAGATGGATACAAGGAACTGCGATTTCCGAGAACATAGGGTCCGTACCAAGAGGATCGGCTCCTGTGTTACACACAAGAACCAGGTCAAAAGAACACCTAACTGTGAACTGCAAGATGATGAATTTGCTAGATTTCCAAAGAGGAAAGCTGACAGCCCAGATTTAATCTTCTCCTTCCTCAATGGTGAAATCTATGGATTCTATAAATTATAATGAGTTAATTAATAATAAACATAATGAACTAAGTAGTAGACTGAGTCAGCAGATCCTGTCACCAAGATTTGATGGAATTGAGAGTGAAGAGCGAGGCCCAGAGGGAAAGACTAAAGGTTTGAAGGGGGAAAAGAAAAAGAATGGATTCTATCCTTGTATCATACATAAGTCGGAGTTCCCATCATCACAGAGTCAGCAGGGCTTAAACTGGCCATAGGTTCCTTCAAAAGCAAAAAGTTTCCACAGGAGTAAAGCTAAAGACGTTCCACCACACTAACTTTTTATTATTATATAAGAGAACTGCTAATATACAGGATGACTGGGAAACAGTTCTCATAAAATGTGATTGGGACTAGCATAAGAATAGGCAAAAAGGTCAATGGAAAAGAACTGAGAACCAGAAATAAATCTTCACATTTACAGCCAACTGATTTCCAGCAAGGGTGTCAAAACAATAAATGAAAAGAATAGTCTTTTCTACAAATAGTGCTGGGAGAACTGGATATCCACATACAAAGGAATTAAGCTGTATCCTCACCTCACACCATATATAAAAATTAACTCAAAACATAAGAACTAACTTTAAGAGCTAAAACTATAAAACTCTTAGAAGAAAACATAGGGATAGATCTTCATGACTTCGGATTTGCCAATGGTTTCTTAGACATGACACCAAATCTACAAGTTACCAAAGAAAAAATACACTGGACCTTGTAAAAATTAAAAACTTTTGTGCTGCAAAGGATACCATCAAGAAAGTGAAAAGTCAAGCCACTGACTCAGAGACAATATTTGCAAATCATATATCTGACAGGGGATTTGTATCCAGGATATATACAGAAGTCTTACAACTCAATCATAAAAAGACAAATAACTCAAGTAGGCAACTGATGGAATAGACATTTCTCCAAAGAGGATAGACAACCGGCCGATAAGTACATGAAAAGATGCTCAGCATTATTAGTCACGAAAAAAATGCAAGTCTAAACCACAATAAGATGCCACTTCACACCCACTAAGATGGCTGTAATAAATAAGACAAGTAACAAAAAGTGTCTGCAAGGATGTGAAGAAATCAGAAACCTCACAGACTGCTAGTGGAAATGTAAAGTGGTGAAGCCCCTTTGGAAAAGTCTGGCAGTTCCTCAAAAGGTTAAACAGTTACTATATGACCCAGAACTTTCACTCCTAAGTATATACCCAAGAGAAATGAAAGCACAAGTCCACACAAAAACTTGTACTTGAAAGTTCACAATAGCAGCATTCTTCGTAACTGCCCAAAACTGGAAATTACCCAAATACTCATCAACCAGATGAGTAGATAAATAAAATGTGGTATATCTATAGAAAGGAATATTCTGGAACAACAAAAACACATGAAGTATAATACATTCTGTATCATGGATAAATCTTAAAAATATTCTGCTAAATGAAAGAAACTAGTTACAAAGGACCACACATTAGGTGATTCCATTTACATGAAATGCCCAGAACAGACAAATCTATAAAGCATAGAGACAAGGAGTAGATTGGTGGTTGCCTAGGCTGGCGGAAGTGGGGAGGGAAGATTAGGGGATGATAGCTAAAGAGTATGAGGTTTCATTCTGGGATGATGAAAATGTTCTAAAATTGACTGTGGTAATGATTATACAACATACAACTATGTTACTATACTAGAAGTCATTGAATTGTATACTTCAAATTGGTGAATTGTATGATATGCTAATTACGTCTCAGTAAAACTGTTACCAAAAAAAAATTTGATTTGGTGCTAGTGATTTGGGGTCTTGTAGTGCTTGACTTTAGATTATTAGCCAGGGTCAAGACATGAAAGAATAACAATATGTATGCCCTTTTTATATAAAAATGATACATCAAAACATCTTTTTCATTGGTATCAAGTATATAAAATTAGTAGAAAGAAGTTTATTACACTGCTCAAAGTATTGACTGATTTATATTTGCCAAAATTAAGTGCTTTTGGTCCCAAAATAGATTAAAGATTACCTTATGTTTTAGCATAGCCATCTGAATATCCATTTCAATTTGATTAGTTTTCAAATCTCCATAGAAACTAAGCTCTCCATTTTCATACTCATTTAACTTCTTTCGTGTCATTTTTAATAGTTTCTTAAATCTGCAGGAATGTACATAATGAGTAAGTCAAGTTCTTTAAGAATGTTTAATAATTATTTAAACAGAGATTCTGTTCTATCATATAAGAGAAACCACCTATAAATTATGACCTCTCTCATTTGTTTCCAGCTAGCATTATTTGAAAGCAAACTCACTAAATTAAAAACCAAAAAAACAAACTCACTGCCATGGAGTCGATTCCGACTCATAGAGACTTTATAGGACAGTGTAGAACTGCCCCACTGGGTTTCCAAGGAGCGGCTGGTGGATTCAAACTGCTGACCTTTTGGTTAGCAGCTGAGCTCTGCACCACCAGGGCTCCAACTAAATTAAAGTGCTAGGTAAATAAAACTATGAAGATAACTTTTATGACATACATGGCAGGTAAAGGGTTAATAATATAACTATATAAAGAGCTTTTATAAATTATTCGTATCTGTTTTAGTATGTTAATACAAAACATTACACTATTATTAAACAGGAGCTATTACACAGAGAGGAGCTCTGGTGGCGCAGTGGTTAAGAGTTTGACTACTAACCAAAAGGTCAGAAGTTCGAATCTACTAGCTGCTCCTTGGAAGCCCTATGGGGCAATTCTACTCTGTCCTACAGTGTCGCTATAAGTCAGAATCGACTTGAAGGCAATGGGTTTGGGTGTTTTTTGTTTATTACCCAGAGATCAGTAGCCAAGGTTAAGAAGAAAAGCATATATGAATGTTCTGAAAAGACATAAAAATACAGTTATCCTGTTAACCACAGTCTACAGGAAGAGGAGAACGTACTTGCAAAAAAGCATCAGAATTATTGGGATTAAAAAATGAAAAAGGAAAGAAAAGTAACTGAAGATTGAGTCAGGAGAAAAGGAAACAGCTTTAGAAGAAAGGAAATCAGCAGAGAGAGAACGTGTGACAGTTTCTTAAACACTGTTTGTTAAGAGATCTAGAGATCTTTGCTAGTACAATGTTAACAAAATAAAAAGAATTGCAAAACAATGAAGAGAAAGAATGAAATGAGAGAAAAATATTGATCAGATTTGAGAACAAATGTAAGGACTCAAGAAATAAACAGAAAGTGCGCTGTGATGAATTACTTACTGTGAGCTTTCTTGCCATGGTCTTGTAACTCCCACCCAGGCGATTGGGCGGGGCTGTGCAAATAAGATAATTGTGGCCCACCAAGGGGACTGGTCAGTTTTGCCTTAAAAGAGAGCCAATTCCAGAGCAGAAGGTAGGGCCCACCTCCACCAAGGAAGGACAGACCAGCAGGAGAGACCTGCAAGACGGCGCAGTGGGCTTCCCAGCCCACACAGTGAGAAAGCTGAGTGCCCTTGGGCAGAGACTGAGGGCCAGGGAGAAGCCTATGTCAGACCCACAAATTTGGGACTTGCCAGCCTCCACAACTGCATGAGCCATTTCTTTTACACAGTTCATGAGTTCTGTGAGAAGTCACAGTGAATTAGGGAACCCAAAGATGCGAAGGAGAGTACCGAGGGGAGAGAGAGTAGTTGATGTTACAGATGAGAAGAGTGGTACAGAAGCTTGGAAAAGTTGGACATGTGGGACATCTTTAACCTCTGCCGCATACGAACCAGCTCTGTGCTGATCCTTGTAAAAGAAATTATTTGTTTAGGAAGACATGTTGGATGCTTCAAAGACATTAGGAATATTCCATTTGTTTTATCTGGGTCGTAAAAATGCGATTATTCATTTTTCTCTTCTTCTGTAAGTCATACGTATATTTTTGTATGACTGATATATTTTATAGATTTAAAAAAGAAGGCAGAAAGGAAATATAAGCCAAATGAAGATAATTTTTGATGTTGTTAAAGAATGACACAGATGAGTGTTTAGATATTACAATATTTGAATGCTGAAGGGCAGAGTACTACTAAAAGAAAGAAAGATTACCAAGGAGAGGAAAGACATCTTACAGGAATAAAACTTCAAGGTAGACGATGAAGAATGCAGTTGACATTATATGCAAAAGACACTGGAAAAAAAGTTTGATTGTGACGTGAGTTTCTGAAGTAAATTTTAAAATAGAATAATTGGTTAAATTATGAAAATGTAGATATAAAACAAATTTGTATTTAGGTTTTAATAAAGTAAAATTAGAGCTAAATGAATAATTTAAGATATAACAGAAATGATCTGAAATATTAAAATCTTACCCAGTAATCTCTTTTTCTAATTCACCATTTTTCTTCATTTCTTGGTCCAAACGATATTCCAGAGATTGTTTTAACTCAATAAGTTTCTTTAATTGTTCCTTTTCATCTTCAGACTTAAAAAAAAAAAATTAAAAACAAAAATATTTTTAAAAATATAGAAACTCACTCTTCTTTTTAAAAAAAATATTTTTCATGAATTCATGAGTCATATATGTTTAGACAGGAGTTCCTGGGTAGTTCAAATGATTACAAGCTCACCTACTAGCTGAAAGGTTGGTGGTTCAAACCCACCTAAAGACACCTTGGAAGACAGTCCCGGTGATCTGCTTCCGAAAGGTCACAGCCTTGAAAACCCTATGGAGCAGTTGTACTCTGCACACATGGGATTGCCATGAGGAGGACTCAGTTTGACAGCAACTAACCATAACAAGCTAAAATATTCTTAAATACCACTAATGGAAAAATAAAAATTTCTTTCTAGTACGACAGAAATCAACAGATTGACTCACCGAACTTGTACCTAACAGGTTTTTCTGAAGGTGTTCAATTTTTCCCATTTGCTTTTTGATTGTAACTTTTAACTTGGCATTTTCAATTTCAACCCTAAAATGTATATTTTAAAATAATTATTCTCACACATAGATTTAAAAATATCATGTAATTTCTCAACAAGCATCTGAAGGTATAATTACATAAACTCTTAAAAATTTGAAAAGTCGCCATTTTTCTAGATGTATTTTATGCAATAAGGATAATATGCAAAAATAATATGTTTCAAAAAAGTTTAAAGTTGAAATTTTCCCCTGGTTTACACACATGTGCTTATTATCATAACTGATATAATTCTTACACTACATTGCTTATTTGTTTTATAAATACACCAGTTATTTTCTGTGCAGCTTTAAATTATACTTTTGCAAGTGCTCTTGCGTCTTCTCAGCACATCGTACTGCCTCTGTGTGTCGCTCCTGTGCTTCTTCCAACTAAAACAAAGAATAAAAGAAAATACTTTACTGAGAGTCTCGTACAAATCCACTCATCACGTATTTTTGGAAGTAAAATTTTATTGTGACACAGTCATGCCCATTCATTTTCATACTGTTTATGACTACTTCCACACTCTAATGGCAGAGTTTAGTAGTTGCCAACAGGGACCTTATGGCCTGCAAAGCCTAAAATAATCGCTATCTGGCCTTTAGAAAAAAGTTCACCAACCTCTGCTCTAGACCTAAAACACAACATTATTGTTACTTTTAAATGATATTTTATCAGATGAGTAATCAAATTTACAGAATTGGTGAAATTGGAAGAGATGGGAAATTATATTAAACAGTTATATTTTTGTATTCCAAATACCACCCCACATCAACTATGATTTTAAATTTTCACATATGTGAATGACTATGACTATGTCAGTGATTCTTAAAGTGCACATGCTGCTGTAGGTGACCAGACGTTTCATAGAACAGTTTGAGAAGCAGTATGAATGTAGGAGCCAGAATGCCTGGGTCTAAAACGCAGCTCCACCAGTTACTGAGCATATTCTTAAACATTCTGTGTCGCAGTTTCTACATCTGTACAATGGAGATAAAAAATAGTATCTGCTTCATTGGGATGTTGGGAAGATTAAATTAGGGTATATGTAAAGTACTTAGAAGAGTACTTGGCACTTATATATCATTGTTGTTGTTATGTGCCATCGAATCGCTTCCGACTCATAGCGACCCTATAGGACAGAGTAGAATGGCCCCCACAGGGTTTCCAAGGAGCAGCCGGTGGATCCGAACTGCTGACCTTTTGGTTAGCAGCCAAGTTCTTAACCATTGCGCCACCAGGGCTCCAAAGTGAGCGATATATAGAAGTGTTAGCTACCAGTATTATTATTTTTATCATATTTTATGTTCTAATAAAATTTGGTATTTTATTCCGGTGGTCTGCCAACACAAATGGTCTCCTATACTAGTTGTGCTGAATCATTTTTTATATCACTGAAAGTGACAACAAATTGGGACTATGGGTCCCAGAATATGCTCCCAGTACTTCATAAACCTTTCACCAATTCCACTAGCTAACAGTTCTTTGTCCTTTATAACTTACTTTCTGTTTGTACTACTCAGTGAGAATGGTCAGTGACTACAATGCAAATAGCGCCTCCGGAGTTGAGTGCTACATAACCTCCATGACCAGCGGAGACACGCTAAAGCCATTAACCGGAAGATACAGGAGTCTGTTGCTAAATCAAGGTTCCTAGATCAATTCATTCCCAGCAAGTGTTTATGCTGGGTAAGCACGCTGATGAGTACATTAAGGTTATGTGCTATGACATCTCAGAAAACCTAGTTCCCAGAGCTTTACAGTTGGGAAAGGGCTATAAACCTGTGTGTCCCAGTTCGGGCGGCATAATGAAGGAAGGCAAATTTAGATTTTTTAATAGTGAGAAAAAACAATGAGCATTTGACTGAACAATTCTCCATTAGATTAAGTGCTTTGAATTTTACATTTAATTGCTTAAATTTAAAATAAAAACTTAAGTATGTTAATGCCTTAAAGAAATTACTGGTATGGTGTAAAGTACTTAAAATTATCCTAACAGCAGTTAAGCTAAAATATTTTTAATTTTCGTAAGGAGAGGTGCCATGCATATTAGATATTATTCCCTCCGTAGTCAAATTTAGACTTAAAAAGACAAGATCATCTCTCATGAAAAAATAAATAAAAGCAATGGAAAATTAAGGGCCAAATTTTTTCTGCACAGACTAGATGACAGGTGCTGAAAAGAGTGAGGTCAATGAAGAACAGTCAGATAAAGCTTCACGGAGAAGAGGAGATTGCGAGTTACATGTGAATAAATGCAGGATAGGCTAGATGAAAACAAACTGAAAAGACTAGAGGGGACAGCATGAGTAAAGGCACAGAGATGGTGAAAGAAGCCCAAACAATACAGGATAAAATCCAGTGGCAAGAAAACATGTCCACACAAAACTTACACACAAATGTTCGTAGCAGCATTATTCATAATAGGCAAAAAGTGGAAACAATCCAAATGTTCATCAACTCATGAATGCATACACAAGTGTGGTACGTCCACACGATATTATTCAGCAATAGAAAGAAATGAAGTATTCATACATGCGTTAATATTGATCAATCTTGAGAACACTGTGCTAAGTGAAAGAAGCCAGTCACAAAAGACCACCTATTGTATGATTTCATTCATACGAAATATCTACGACAGGCAAATCTAGAAAGAGAGAGTAGGCTGGTGGTTGTGTAGGGACATGGGGAGATTAGGAGGTGACACCTAAGGGATGTGAGTTGATGAAAATATTCTAAATTTCACTGCGACAATGGTTGCACAACTCTGAATATACTAAAAGCCATTCTATACTTTAAATGGGTGTGTTACCTGGTATGTGAATGATATCTCAATTAAATTGTTCGAAAAATCCAATGGTGGGATCTAGATAATTTTCTTAGTTCTCTATTTTGGGTGTACATACAGTACATAATCTGAATATTTGTATGCTTTCACAATATATCGAAAATGAAAGGAAAATGAAGGAAATGCGTAACTCTCCAAATGGTTTTGTAAATTTTGCATTTTGGAGAACAGTATAATGGGCTTTCTATGGCAAGTTATCCTGAAATCCATGAAATATACACAGATTCTGTATTCATAAAAGTGAAGATGAGAAATACGATGATTTTCTGGAACATTTCATTAAACATTACCCTGTGATTTAATCTGGCTTGCCTCACCATGACAATAGAGACACTACTAAAAAAATACTATTTAGTAGCAAAAAAAGCCTCTCAACTTCTGTGAACTATTACGTATAATTTTCAAGTTTCCTAAGAGTAAATATTATAAGAAAAACTTATAACACAAACAGCAGATTGAAAGCCAGAGTTCAAGAAATAAGTGCATTATAAAGATAGTAAAATTGTAATAAAATTAATTATAATGAAAATACAAAAGAAAACTGTCTAATGAAATTTGTATAGTTAAAACACTTTATATTACTTAACTAGCTATAGATTAACTGTTGACATGTTAAATTTCATACATACTTGACATCTGATTTGACCTAATTTCTTCTTTAAATCCTGTGTCTCATCTTCTAAATTAATGCGATAACGTGATGTCACCTCCAGTGAAGCCTCTGACATAGACTGTTTTTTAAGGGTATCAGCCAGTTCTTGTTGAAGTTGTCTCACAACTGCCTGGTAAGATACTTCTGTTACTGATTTTATAAATCATTTTATTAATAAACTATGCTAACTGTATATAACTCTAACATATATACTTTGAAAAACATCACAACATACATTCCTAAATTCAGTTAAGGACACCGAAGGTGTTATCTCCCTGCCTAATCAGTATTACATTTATTAGACCACAGAGTCAGCCCCACCATCCATGTCCCTTGACGAATTTGCAAAGCTTAACAACAAACCTACTGAAGGCTCAGAAATAAATGGTTGGGTGTGTGGGACTGGTGGTGGTCGTTTCCACACTGTGGAAGGTTTTCCCTCTTTTTTATTAGAAGCTCAAATTAACTTCAGAGTGCCTCACATATTCAATCCTCCGCTCGAATCCTTCCAATGGGTTCCTTTCTCACTCAGAACAAAAGTCATCATTACAACTGCCTTCAAGGCCCTACATAACCTTGCCTCCACTTTACTCCCTGATCCCAGCTCCTGCAAAACTCTCTTCCCTACTCACTCCATTCTGCTACACTGTAAACCCTGCCACCAACATTAGTCTGAATAGGGGGATCGAATGACGATATAATAAAGCCCAGAGGGTTACAATTACCTTGTCACTGGGCAAATTTATCTCCAAATGATGGTAACTTAGCCTTGAAATGAGAAGTAATTATTAGCAAATTACAGTTGATCCTCATTACTCATAGATTCTGTATTTGCAAACTCACCTACTTGCTAAAATTTATTTGTAAGTCTAAAATCAATACTCCCAGTGCTTTGGCAGTCATCTGAATGCACCGAGCAGCAAAAAACCTAAGTGTCCCAAATGTACAAGGCTAGTTCTGAAATGACAGGAACTTTATAGAACATAACTATCACAAATAACAAGAATTAACTGTATTTGTAAAAATGCTCAAAGTAATTATAAATAGCACTAGGAAGATTAAATCAAATAAGGTTTTGTTAAAATTGGCCACGTATCCCTAATAAAAAGTAGACATTTTTAAAGAGTTGAGAGGTCATAAGAACACGTGATTTGGAACTAAAAGATTTCCAGAATTAATTCAAATTGATGTAAATAAAAAAAAAAAAATTACACTAATTAAGAATGCATAAAAACAGAGGCAGGGCCAAGACAGCAGAGCAGTCAGACAGCTTCCTTTGTCCCTCTTACAACAAAGACCTGAAAAAACAAATGAACTGATTGTATATGAATATCTAGGCACCCTGAACAAGGCAAAGTTGAGGAATTGGACTAAGTCACAGGAGGGGAGAGAGACAGTTCAGAAGCAGCAAGGAGTTGCCTGACCTGACCTGGTGGAAGCCGCAACCCTTCAGCCAGGTTCAGCTCAGGGCGCGCAGTGAGGCAGGTGCACAGCTCTGCTCGCTTGCTTGGGAGGCACTTTCCACATGGAGAGAGATCTGGCAGCAGAGAGTCTACCTGGACACTTGGAACCAGTCAAAAGCAGCATTCAAGTGGCTATAAGTCCTTGCGTGTGGCCTACCACAGGGATTTTAAAAAAAAAGCACAAACCCATTGGGGAAAAACCTCTCTCCCATTTACCTCCTCCCTCCCGGCTCTTCCGGCTTCAGCAATCTCTGAGTCCCCTGGGCCGGAAGTAGATCCCATAAGGTGCCCTGACCCATTCTCCTAGCCTTGGAGAGGGAACAAATTAACAAACAGGGGAAAAATAAACTACCAGCTCCCCTAAGCCAGGACCTCAGGGTTGGCAAGCTCCTTTGCCTAGGCACAAGCATAAGGGGTCTGCAGACTTTGAGTGCCTTCCACCCCTGTATAGACTTGTGTGGACCCATCTCAACAGCGTAAGCCCTCACTACCGCAGTACTACAGGGTAAATACCTGAAGTCTAACTTCAACTGTTTCAGCTGTGAAGTGGCAGGTCTGTGACGTCTGACACTGTTCTACCCTTTAAGCAGGCGCCTTACCTGTCCACATCAGGGGCTTGAGGACTAGTGGCTCCACCCACACCACCTAGCCACCTGCTACAGGGGTCCAAGAATAAGTGCTGTCCCCCATTCCCTACAGCCAACAGTGTAGGGTGCTCATAGTCCGGCTGCAAAACTCATCTACCTATTCACTCTAGGGAACAGGAACACGCTTTCCTTTCAAACACTCAGGGGCAGCCGTCAGCCCCCTACCTTGCTCAGCGCATGACCCCCTACTGCAGCCAGATACCTGTGCCTACAGCAATCACCCATACCTCTCTAAGACTGTAGGTAAGAGCCTGTACCACACACTTGGTGACTGACTGCTTGGACACCTGAGATGAATCCATACAGGAAAATTTAAAGGACTCCTAGGCACACATAGTAACAGACCTAACTACCTTGTGACAGTATGTTACAGCTTCAAAGGCACCAATAATCAAACTAGCACACACGAGCAGCCTATTTGGGCTTATCAAAACAAAACAAGAAGCTAGGACACACTAAACAAATACAAAATAAAATTACAATAACTTACAGATGGCTCAGAGACAACAGTCAGTATCAAATCACATAAAGAGGCAGACCATGATGGCCTCAGCAAGCTCCCAAAATAAAGAATAAATTTTCTGGAGGAAGAGAATTTCTTGGAATTACCAGAGGCAGAATACAAAAGATTAATATACAGAACTCTTCAAGAAATTAGGAAGGAAATTCGTCAAAATGTAGGGAAAGCCAAAGAACACACAGACAAAGCAGTAGCAGAATTAGAAAGGTTATTCCAGAGCGTAATGACAAATTTAACAGGCTGCAAGAATCCACAGAGAGACAGCAATCAGAAATCCAGACTAACAATAAAACTTAAAAATTAGACAACTCAATAGAAAGTCACAGGAGCAGACTTGAGGCAGCAAAAGTCAGAATTGGTAACAGTGAAGATAAAGCACTTCACACCAACTTATTTGTGGAAAAATCAGATAAAAGAATTTTAAAAAATGAAGAAACTCTAAGAGTTACGCGGGAGTCTATCAAGAGAAATAACCTACAAGTGATTGGAGTACCAGAACAAGGGGGGATAACAGAAAATACAGAGAGAATTGCTGAAGGTCTGTTGACAGAAAACTTCCCTGGTATCATGAAAGATGAGAAGATATCTACCCAAGATGCTCATCGAACCCCACATAACGTAGACCCCCCAAAAAAGTCACCAAGAAATATTATAATCAAACTTGCCAAAACCAAAGATAAAATCAGAATTTTAAGAGCAGCTACGGATAAAAGAAAAGTCATCTACAAAGGAGAGTCAATAAGAATAAGCTCGGACCACTCAGCAGAAACTATGCAGGCAAGAAGCCAACGGGATGACTTACATAAAGCCTTCAGGAAAAAAAATTGCCAGCCAAGAATTATATATCCAGCAAAACTGTCTCTCAAATATGGTGGTAAAATTAGGGCATTTCCAGATAAACAGAACTTTAGGGACTTTGCAAAAACCAAACCAAAATTGTAAGAAATACTAAAAGGAGTCCTCTGGTTAGAAAATCAATAACATCAGATAACAACACAAGACTAGAACACAGGACAGAGCAACCAGATATTGACTCAGACAGGGAGGTCACAAACATACATCAAAGCTAAAACACTAAAAATAGGGAAACAGAGATATCAATATGTAAAAGATGACAACATTAAAACAAATAGGCGAGACTTAAAAAATGTAGACAAAGACTTTTCATATGGAGAGGAAGTCGAGACGATATAAAGAAATAAAAGACTGGTATAAACTTAGAAAAACAGGGGTAAATATTAAGGTAACCACAAAGGAAACTAACAATCCTACAAGTCAAAATAAAAAATGACAAAAATATAAAGAGTCGGCAAACACAAAATCAACAACAATGAAAAACATGAAAAAAATACATAAAGAAAAACAACACAGCACAGAAAACTAAGT